TAATTTTGTAATTTATCCACTTCAACTCTACCGCTTATAAAGTTTTAATTGTCGTTGTTCTTATCACTTATATATTTATATATATGTATATTGACTAAGCAATTAATTATATAGTGCCACTTAATAATCTTTTTCTGTAAGATAAATACGACTGTACAGTTGGCATGAAAAATGAAGTCGTTTCTTCACTGAACAAAAACGACTGTGCTATTCACTTATTAATGCTTTATATATCGATTCCACACCAAATACTTTAAATATCAATAACGCAATATTAATTAATGCATTCTTATACAACTAGAATTTCTCCTTTAGGGACTATCGTATGTTAATAATTTTTCCATTGGTTTTTTTTGTCACTCACTCACTGTTGAGTATGCAGAATAACTTATTGTAGACAATTCTTCCTGCGGAAATCTTTTTCTTTTGTAGTGAAAGGATTATATAGATATAATAATGGAAAGACGCAGTTTTCTGTGGCTGTGTTAACTAATACCATTTGGGATAGCCGATAATTATGCTAAATACGGATGGACAGGATGGCCTATAAAGCCAATCAGTTTTTTAAACAGTCTTCATTATTATTATTATTATTCTACTATTCATTGCTTGCGTCGGTGGTATACCGCTTTGGACGCTCGCCGACCATGCACACGGTCCGGGTTCGATCCCCGGCCACAGACGCACTCCTTTACCTCACCAAGCTAGAAATAATGCTGGTAAAGAGGAAAGGTTGGTCATGAGGTGGCTAGCAACCCCATCCTGTAAAATAAACACTGCTACAGAAACTTCAAGTCACTAGCTTGAAGGTGCCCTATGTTCCACTGGGAACGTGAATGAAAAAAATTCATTGCTTGCATTCTGTATGGAGTGTATTGAGAGTATTTTAGCATCATATCTTCGGAAATCAGTTCGTCGGGTATATGATTCTACTTCTCAGATGGATGAAGTGGTCAATATGCTCAGTTATCCCTCTCTCTCTCTCTCTCTCTCTCTCTCCCTTTGTAACTTTATACTAGACGTCGACGCAGACCACTTTTCCAGTATCATCTTATACTTTGGCATAGCTAAGTTGTATGTCTTGCATTCTTGAGTCGAAACATAAGGTTTCAGCAACATATCTCCACTGTATCCTGCCTGTTCTTCAGTATTAATTTCATAGCTGACTGCACGACTGCCTACAAACTTCCATTTTACTCTTCACATGAATGCTACTGTCGAATACGTATACTGTCGCTTCCCATTCATATCACAGCCCATTTACGGCTGGGCGTGTATGAGATGTAATATGGTCTCTTCAGAGTAATGTTCATTTCATCTCCATTATCTTCAGCATATTGATTGGACTATGGATGTTTTTGTGCGGTTTCACTACTGCATACTTCCTTGTTGCATATTCTTTCCTGCCATCTATCCGAGCTGATCTTCAATGTCATGTCAAGACAAGATAGGTGATATTGAATTTCTTCAGCTTTTCGTGACGCCGCCTGGTTAGGTCTCTGAACTGTCTGGGAAGCACTCGATTGATATTGTCAAAAATCTAGGTCTTGTTGCATCTTAGACTGCCAAGTTAAACTTTAAGCACCACTAACTACCAATCAGTGAACGACGTCGAATTATACAATGAGATTCACGAACGTTAGTTCAGTGTTGTATAGCGCTTGATTCATTTCAAATGCGTGCCCTAACGAAGTTACGGTTGCAATCCGATGAGGATAATGTTTTCCGGTGTTACCTGGATTTAGGGTTGCTCCGGAAGGAGCGAGCTTGTTCGTGTAGTGGTGTGATGACTTTAAAAAGCAATAGCAGGTCAACAGCATCGTTGTGCAATATGCTTGAAGCAAGTTAGCATTAGAGAGGGTAAGCTGATAATTTTAATATTTCGTAGGAACTTTTTTGGTAAGGTTACACCTCTCCTTGCCGCAAATTTTGTATATCTGACACTACTGGGTCTTGAAGCAGCCAGTGAGAGCCACAGCTGCTGGGACGGAGAATAACCTCGTCTCAACAGTTCAGTGGTATTAGCATTGCAGAGATATTGCTTCTTAGAAAATGGAAGATATCAATTCTTTGTTGGTTGGAGAAGACGTTGTTGTGCACGTGGATGAAACTGTGTTGGTGAAAAAGAAATACAACCGTCTTTGCCAGCGTACGAACAATATTTAGGTAATAGGTTTGTATGACACCTCCTTCCGAAAAGGATTCGTCGAAAGGATAGCAGACAGAAAAGTAACCACTTTAATACCTATTATTACTAGACTTGCAAAACGGGGATCAATAATACACACGGATGAATGGAAAGGTTACAATTCCTTGTCATCTCTCGGATATATTCATCATAGAGTCAACCATTCAAATGATTTTGTGGATCCCATTACGTGGACACATACCAATTCTATTGAAGGATTTTGGGGCAGGTTGAAAAATACGATAAGGACTATTAATGGATCTCAAAAGGATCTCATTTAAAGCCATTTAGATGAATATATGTACAGGATGTGGTGTAACTTTTCTATTGATAGTCCTATGCTTAACTGGGAGATGTTTCTCTCACATGTTAAGGATACCTCTGTAACAATTTTATGCATTTTGTGTGCTTTTTTCTATAAATATACGTTTCCATTTATCATAAACGCCTCTTTGATGTGATTGGTCCGCTCAAGGTCGTTTGCTAATTGGTTGTTACTGGTGTCGAAAGTTTTACTTTGCCGTTAAATGGAAAACTAAGTCTAAGTTCATTGTACACACCACTGTGTTGGCAGCTATCAGTTATTTATCAAACACAAACAAACATACACTCGTATTAGTTAAATTAGGAGAAGTTGACTAACAGTCAATTCTGGTGAAATATTACAGAAGAAATGAAATGATGAACCAGTTGAACCAGAAAATTTCACTTCATCTCTGATAATTGATTTCTCTTCAGACCAAAATAAATTTGGTCCAGGGTTCGATCTCTGGTCGACGCACTTCCAAACCTCGCTCAGTCAGCTATAAATAAGTAAGCTGCCCGGCTAAAAGAGGGAAGGTTATACGCGCGAAGCTAATAACCTCACTCCGGTAGCACAGTGGTTAGGACTTTCTCTGATCATGCACATGGTCCGGAGTTCGATCATCTGCCGACGCACACCCGATATCCAATGGTCGACCTACAAAATATGGGCTACCGATATCATATGCTGAAAATTTCATACTTGTACCAAAAATACGGTGTGGAATCAAGCTGTAATCCAAAAAGAATTTTTTTTAAAAACCCACTGCTACTGAAAATTCATAGCTCAAACGAACTGCATTGAAACTCAGTAGTTGACCCATTTTACTTATAGTCAATAAAATTAAGTAAATATATATATATATATATATATCTGATCACCGATAGAGGTAGGTATATCACATGATTAATTATTTTTGTAATAATCTCAATGTCCTGAAGCTCTTCCACCTCTCCCATTTTTCAAATACTTTGAAAACAAAATGTGCTCATGCACAAGTTGTTGTCTTGTTGTTTGTTTGTATTTTCCAATTTTTTTACCTTGACGACCTGTTTCATGAAGTACTTTTGTGAATTAACCAACTAACTACTTGCCTATCTGTGGACAAACATATTATTTTAAAAGTTATGCGAAATTCACTGCGTGCGATAGGTTGGGTTTCGAACTTTGTAGGCCTGTTTAAGTGTATTACTGTGGCACTTATACTCTCTTTTTCTTAACATGATATGATAACATGACTTGTGGTATTTTGTGGCAAAAATCATGCGGACGTCTGAACATCTTGACAGGTAGCAATCTGCGAATGTTTGACATGCGATTTCCCTCCCACCCCCTCCCCCTCCCCGCGCTTGCCAAATGTAAGATGATTCTCTACAAGACTGGTCTACATTGACTCCTAGCTTAGAGATAGGGAGTGAATTGGTCAGTGGAGCATGTTGTCAATCTCACACTTATTTGGGGAGTTGCATCAGCCAACCCCAGTGGGTTGATAGCTGACGACAGAATGCTGATGATATAGAAGGCTCGTGTGGCATATGCCAACTTATCACAGCTCTGGCTTAGAAGACGTGATATCCCGCTGGTTGTTGCAGCCGAAGAGCGTTTGTACTGCTCAGCAGTCCGCTGCGTCCTCCTTTATGTCTGTGAGATCTGGTCATTTAGAGAGGAAGACATGAAAAGGCCGGTTAGCTGTCTTATGGACATCACTTCGATTGGGATAATGTCGAAATTTTAAACAGAGGAAACACCAAAAGTGCAGTCAGGGAATTCCTGGAAGCCTGGTACTCAAACAAATATGCAAATAACAAACACGTTAATACAGACTAAATATACCAACTAATAAAAAGTAAATCATGTGACGAGAAAGTTTAAAATCCAAGTCAATAGAAAATGATCAATACATATGTAAAGATGGTTACCAGGAGAGGCAATTCTATCACTCACTACTCATGGAAAAATTTAAATCAGTTCACTTTATCCTAAAATTTGTGCTGAAAGGAGATGTCCAGCAGGGGTGGACGACGCAAGCTCTTCAACCTAAACCAACCATCTTAGAGAACACTACTACTAATTGCAAATCATCCACCTGAGCTACAAATCTTCTCTATTATATATTATGTACATTTGTATTAGATGCTATCTTATGACCTGTTTGATGAAATAAATCAATATCTTCCAAATGACAGCACTAAATAATAGTGATCCAGGTTTCAACTTTCAAAGGATCGCTTGTTTAATGTTTACTGATATGCACAGTACAGGAATATTAGGCATAACGCCCCTTGCTATAACTGTCTCGTATAGTAAATGCAATATGTTTCTACATTACTCTTTTTTTAATATGTATATATGTATATTGTCTTTAATGTAATGTTTCATGATATATATATCTCCCTTTGTGTATTCTTTGTTTTGTTTTGCGTCCTCTATATTCATCAAAAATGTTGATGATATGCATGACCCTACACTCTCACGCACACATACACACACAATCATCACATTTTACAGAAGGAACAGGTAAATATGAAAATAAATGAGCTTGTTCACATACAGAGCTTGTTTACGTCACATTTTCATTAGATTTGTGTATATGCATATATGTCTTTAAACACTAGGCTGTTGTTTAATGGTGTACACGCACTTAAGCTCACTGATGTATTGAAATGAACTGCATGCACTTTATTTGTGTGTGTGTGTCCGTGTGTGCATCTATTCCGTGTGCAAAGCCATTTTTGTGGAGCATTGTTTTTGAGTAGCAGTACTAATTCTTGTTGTTGTCGCGGTTGTTGGTAGTGGTGTTTGATGGTGTGAATGTTGTCTTTTTTATATTTTAAGTGTTTTGTTATACACTTTGCATTTATTGACTGAGTTTAAATTCCACTTGCCGTGTATGCTATGAAGAAGAGCTATGAGGATCATCAACAGTTCCTTTGTGATGTGTAGTCTGTCTGTCTGTCTGTTTGTTTTTTACATAGAACTTTGCACCGATGTGCAGCAGTTTAAGTCGTCACACTTCCTCCATATAGCACACAAATCAAGAGAAGAAAGTAGAAGAAATGCATAATAGAGACAGTAGACAGGGATATGTGACAAAAGAATAGTAATAACGAAGAACAATATAGTTGCATTGGAAATCATAAGTCACAGGGAGTGGATGCATCTGCGCCAATCATTGAGGACAGTTTTGAGCCATATCACCAATTGTTTCCAGCCATTGGTTTTTACCGTCCCGATTACCCTAACCAGTCAGGAAGTCTACACCTTCCTACGTGACTGGCTGGGTTAAACTAACTGTTGTGGGTTTCATTGACTGGTGACGTGTTTTGATTTGACTGCCGCTAGCTCTTCTCCAGCCTGATCCTATGTCAGCTAGCATCGCCCGTCGAGGAAGGCATTTGCTAACCATGCGTGATACATGTCGTAACCATCTCAGTCGACGCATGACCTCAATATTGCTCACCTTATTATACCACTTTACACAGGAGATAGAACGCAGACACCTATAATCAAAGACGACTAAATCTTTTCATATCTTCCACTCTCAATGATAAGGTCTCGCTAATAGCAATAAAGGAGGACGGAGCTGAGTGATGAGCAGTACACACGCCCTTTGGTCGATAGTCGAATATCTCGTCTACGCCAGAGACGGCGTAAACTGGCATATGCGAAACTAGCCCTCTGTATCCGTACTCAGCTAAGATTTCGTTAGAGATCAGCTCGTTGGCGTTGGCTGACGGTACTTCTCAAATAAGTGAAGCGGTCAACGTGCTCTACCACTTCACTCCCTATATATAAACTAGGAGTTGGTGTAGTCCAGTCCTGTAACATCATCTTGCATTTAGCGGGAGCGAATCGCATGCCAAACATTCATGGATTGCAGCTCAGGGTGTTTAGAAGACTCTGCATTTTTTCAACGTCCTCTCCTAGAAGGACTATATCGTCTGCATATTCCAAGTCAACGAGATTATTCCCTGGTAGCAAGTTAATCCTTGAGTCGCTGAAGTGAGTTAGGTTTAAATCGATTGGTACATCTATGATGAAATTGAATAGAAATGGGGATAATGGGCATCCTTGACGGACACCACTAGTTGTCACCAGTTCATATGACAACTCGCCGTAAACCCTCACCTGGCTGACTGCATGAGTTCGAGTAGAGTGAATGCCTTGATATGCCTTGTGATGTATAGTGCTTCGGCTTAGGCGCATTATTATTAGTATTACTCCCTTTGGTCAACAGTAGACTTCAACAACATATCTGAAGTTTGGTCCTGTTCTCCTCCTCACTCCTCTTTATCTGACTTCATCTTCTCACACGCGATCCCCTCCTCCATGTTGTCAACCTTGGAGACACACCCAGCTGGTCATTTCCTTGTTTGAGGGTTTCACTCGAACGATTGCCTTGCGCCGTGATGTTATCAAATAGTCTTCTCAGAGTATGTGTCGGATCCATCTCCCCGTTTTCCTAGATGTATAAGAGCTTTGGCTGTTGTGTCGGTGACATTTTGTGATAACCACCATTCACTGCCTCAATACGTGTACTCGTGGTGGTTGTCGTCTGGTGGATCGGAGTAGATTCCTGAATTTCCATCGAACAGTTTGGATGATCTCACTGATCCCTAGTAGTACTTCTAAGCCATATATCTTCGCATTTCTTTGGCAACTATTTGAGCAACTTTCCCAGCTTTGTAAATTGTGCGAATATTTCACGTCTCCACGCTTATCTTTGCTTTCATTGAAAGTGGGTACACCTGCTGGAAGACTGACTTCTTGAAGGATTTCATTTCGTTGCTCGGATTCCACTAAAGAATAAGTTTGTTTTTTATATATTTTTTTCATATTTTTCTTGAGGTTTGAAGTTTCTGTGTAGAGATTGGATTGATTTTCTGGGCGGGGAAGGTAGGGTTAAAACTCTTATCCCCAAACTTCCCTCTTTTTTTTCAGACCCCTAGAACTAGCTAGAAAGCTGGCGAACTATTAAACCAGGCGAGGTTATTAAGCAGCTATCTTACAGCCAGCAGGTCCCAGGTTCGAATCTCACTCCACCAATTCCACCCTGGGCAACTGAATAGTTTCATTCAACCTCCTTACAAGGGGTAAGTGTAGCTCATAGCCTGGAACCGGATAACTGAGTTCTAAGTAAACACGAAAGTAATCTACAGTTTCCTGAATGATGTCACCATTCAGCTACCACACACAAATCTTGTCTTCTAGACATAGATGTGGAGGGAGAGGTGCATATATTCCTACTGGGAGGAGGATGTCACTAAATGTAATCAGTGCACTCGGATTTTACGTAAACACTTGTGAATCTATGTAAAAAGAGGAATGCGATTTTTAACAGCAATTTCTGTATAGGTTGTTGTGTGGTGTTGGTTTGCTTGGATTCATATCTAATGTTTATATGTGGTTTTGTGATAGGTGACCTTGAGGTTCTGGTTATTGTTTGAAGGTTGTTTCGATTACTTTTCGCTACTATTGTTATTCAAGTATTGGTTTGTAGGGATTTGATTGATTGGTTACAGGATGATGTCATCATGATTCTCTAACCAATGTCAGCTCATGAGCGTTATGTCATGCATGAATTGGCATAAGTTAGAATTCATGGGCTGGTCAATAGGTCGAACTGCCTCGCCTTGTAACCATGAAGTCCTGGGTTCGAATCCTGTCGGTGGGCGCGTACTGCTGAGTAAGAGTCCCTAACTAGTGTGACAAAACAGCTGTCCAATACTCCCAGTTGTTTTTCCAGTGGTTCTCTAACCAATATCTGCTTATGAGGGAATCCTGTAACCAATTGTTGTGTTAGTTGATCAATTTTCGAAGCAATATGTTGTAGCTATGAATCTCTCTGGGTATTCAGTAACACAATGATGAATAATATTCTATAATATTCAAGTGTTGGTTCTATAAACCTGTGAAATTTTCTTCATTTTAACTGTGGTATAGCTTAGCAGAATGCTTGTGCTGTGTTGATGCTGCGCTTGGCATCACAAATAAGACAACTGAGGTAAGACTAACTTTTCAACGTAGACAAAACGTTTGCACAAAACAAAAATGCAACACTGTTCACATTCCAATGAATGACTTCGATTTAGTTAACAGGTACTGCTACCTTATTCACAGGAAACACTGGGAACCATCATGCTATTGATGTAATCTTTTCTTTTTCTAAAATATATGCAGTCTAGCTTGATAATGAAACGTACAAGATTTATTATTATTGAAGTCGGTGGCACAGTGGTTAGGACTCTCGCCGACCATGCACATGGTCGGGGGTTCGATCCCCTGTCGACGCACACCCTATATCTATGGTCAACCCGGAAAATTTGGGCGAACGATATCACATGCTGAAAATTCCATACTTGTACCAAAAATACAGTGTGGAATCAAGCTGTAATCAAAATTAAAAAAATAAAATAAAAAAGCTCACTATTGTCTTGTTATTTTTCGTATATTCTGGACTAGTAATTACTTCTCTTTTTGTTTTTTTTTCAAGAAAGAAGCTCTTGTGTGCTTATTTGTTGGCTGTGTGAGAGTGGCTTATTATGCACACATAGACTGTCTGTCATTTTGCCTGTTACATTCTTGTTTAATGCTTTATAGCAGGTGGCTTTGTACTTTTAATATATATATAATATTACTTTAGAAGTGTATTAAAATTGTGCATTACTACTTTTCATGCTTTTGATATATGTTTTTTAGTGAAAATATGTAGATAGCATTGGTCTTTTAAGTTACAGTATAAGTATAACAACAGAAGACAAGGGTCAGGCAACAGATCCTTTATCAAGCAAATCAACACATACTTGTAGATTTTCATGTACATTATTTTAGATTATTGTTAGTAGAAAAACACAGTCTTCTGATTGGTGGTTGTTTCTCACTGAAAGTTAGCCTTGCATCTCTTTGTGGCTGTTTCTTGAATGTCAGATCATCTATCTGGTAACTGTATCTGCCTACGCAAAGTCTTTGTTGTTATTTTTTCTCACCACCAATATTAGGGACATAAACATTGACGTGAATTACTGTCGACCAATTTTGACTAACAGCCAGCTCTCACCACATAAGTACTTTAGCGACCGAAATCAACGTATTGAATGCTAGAAAAAGCTAATCTTCGCTTCCTGCTCAAGCCTCCTTATCACCATGCTTCAATCGGACAGATTCTAAGTCGAGACACACTTTCTCCCAAAGACTGCATATACCCTCTTATTAATTTGCATCAATTATTCATTTAATGCTATAAAAGAATTCTTCGACTTATGCAGTAATATCGGTAATAGGAATATTTACAGGTTTTAGAATCGAACCGAACAATACGGACTACTGGCCTTACTTTCTGAGGACTTATGGTCTTTTCTGAGATGAGAGAAATAAAATCTTGCCTGATTAGCGTTCTGGCTATCTGTGTCAATTCAGAAGACGTTGGCTCATCACCGTTGTTTGTGATGTTATCTACTTTTCCTACCCACTTCATTTGTAGCGTACAGGGGTGGTTTTGTTGATTATTGATTCTAGAG